AAGAGCTCCTGGAGTTAAAACCAACAAAAAAAACCAAAACAGGATCAAGCTCAATTACTGCAGTATAGGATAATAAGAGACACAAAGGAATGGTTTACACTCCCAGGAACCAGAGAGGCAAGTCGTGTCTTGCAGTGTGCGTGTAAGAGACCTTCGCTGGTAGCATCAGGGAGTCAATAGCAGAGTCTACGTTACGTACAAATTGCATCTAGTTTTCAGAGAATTAAACTACATTCGAACCCCTTGTTTTCAGAATGTCCATAACAAAGTAATGCCAGGAACTTTTGACTGAAAAAAAGTTTGCAGTAGCATCGCGGTATTTGGCCATATAGGATTTCTTTTCCAAAATACATTATTAATCAGCACACTTTTCCTTTCCTACAGCTAAAAATAGCTCCTCTCTTTGCCTTCTTAGTTCTATTAGATGTAACAGGCCGACTACATCCACTTAACAACCCTCCTACCATCCAAGTTAAAAGGGCTCTAGCTCCTGAAATGAAGCTCCCCAGGGATTTGATTATGTCTTCCACTTTCTAAAGGTTTCAGTGCCCTTCAAAGACAGCCCTATATATTAAGAACGTGAACTCTGTTTTACCTGGCTGTTTTTTCTGTGGCTCCTCCTCTTGCACAGGCTGGTAAGATGGCAGAGTTCCATTTATATTTTCAGAATATTTTCCACCCCTGGGGGGAAAAAAACCCACCACTGTTAGAGAAATAACATGGTTATTTTCTTTGTATAAAACACTTCCATTGAAAATTTATTGTGTTTCACTGCCATCAGTGACATACCTGAAAGAAGGTGGTACTAGTTCAAGAGGCAGAGTTAGTGGCAGAGGTTGTCCGGCTTTGGCCATATCAGTTAGGTGCATGGCTAACACAAACTCATCAGCTTTCAGCTGTCCATCTCCATCAATATCAGCCAGTGACCTGCACAGTTTTAACAGCAATAATCGTTAGAACCAAACATCACAATCACTCAAAAATGATAACTGAAACAATTTACTGTAAAATAATTTTAAAAATATAGAATTCCTGTGAAATGTTCTGGTAAAACTAATTAAAATTAACAACACAAATAGCTGATGAAAGGAGGTATTATTTTGTTTAGTAATGTACTGCTACTCAGATGTTTTCGTAAAAAACAGTATAGCAAAAGTATAGGAAAGGTCAAGAGACATCTCTTGATTTATTGCATCACCAAGAGAAGAGCTGGGAAAAGAATCCAGGACTGTTTTTAACCAGCTCAAAATGCTAGGAACCACTTTTTCAATTTTTATTTTTTTTTTAAAGCAAAAGAGAACATTATATAAAATCACATCAAATTCTACAACAGGAACCCTTGTGTCTCCTTGACAGTGCGGGGAAGATGTGAGCTGCCCCAGAGTACCTTGCAAAGGGTGGGAAAAGGATCGCCTACCCCCTCCTCTAAAGAGAAGGGAAACCACACAATCCATCACCAAGGGAATGTTGTGGTTGGTGTCTACTACAGGCCGCCCAATCAAGGGGAGCCTGTTGACAAAGCCCTCTTACTCCAGCTACAGGAGGCATCAAGCTTGCAGGCTCTCATCCTGCTGGGGGACTTCAACCACCCCAACATCTGCTGGAAAAGTAGCACAGTGAGCTATGGGCAATCCAGGGGACTCCTGGAATGCACTGAGGATAACTTCTTAAGCCAGTTAATAGGCACCCCTACCACAGGGGATGCGATATTGGACCCGCTGGTCACCAATGCATGTGAGCTAATCAGTGACATCAAGATTGGAGGCACCCTGGGCTGCAGTGGTGATGCACTTCTGAGTTCAAAGTCCTGAGGGATATGGATCAGGCAAAGAGTAAAGTCAGGACCCTGAATTTTAAGAAAGCAAACTTCCAGCTCTTCAAGGAGTTAGTCAATAGGATCCCCTGGGAAACTGCCCTCAGGGACAAGGGAGCAGAACAGAGCTGGCAGGTCTTTAAGGACACTTTCCATGGAGTGCAAGAGCTCTTGATACTCAGGTGTAAGAAATCAGGAAAAGAAGGCAAGAGACTGGCACACATGAGTCAAGACTTGCCGGTCAAACTAAGAGCAAGAAGGAAATGCACAGGCAGTGGAAGCGGGGACAGGTATCCTGGGAAGAGTATAGCAACGCTGCCCAGTTGTGTAGGGATGGGGTCAGGAGGGCCAAGGTGTTGCTGGAGCTGAACTTGGCAAGGGATGCAAAGAATAGTAAGAAGGGCTTCTATGGGTCTGTCAGCCAGAAAAGGGAGGTCAAAGAAAGTGTACCCCCCTGATGAGCAAGACTGGCAAACTGGTAACATCTGACAAGCAGAAGGGCCAGGTACTCAACAACTTTTTTGCCTCAGTCTTCACTGGCAACCTCTCTTCCCACACCTCTCGAGTGGATGAATCGCAAGACAAGGACTGGGGGAGCAAAGTCCCTCCGTCTGTAAGAGACCAGGTTCGTGAATACCTGAGGAACCGGAACATACATAAGTCTATGGGACCTGACAAGATGCATCCCAGAGTCCTGAGGGAATTGGCTAATATATTTTCCAAGACACTCTCCATGATATTTGAAACTCCATGGTAGTCAGGTGAAGCCCCTGGTGACTGGAAAAAGGGGAACATTACACCCATTTTTAAAAAGGCTAGAAAGGAGGACCCTGGGAAGTACCGATCTGTGAGCCTCACCTCTGTGCCTGGGAAGATCACAGAACAAATCGTCCTAGAAGACATGGAGGACAGGGAGGTGATTCAAGACAGCCAGTACAGCTTCACCAAGGACAAGTCCTGCCAGACCGAACCAG